AGTCTTACCTATAATCATTGTAATTTAAGTAGCTATACTGTTAAATAGCTTATATTTGCAAAACCCATGATAGCTATTTAGCAAACTGTAGATCAGGTAGCAAGAAGCAGTTAGTGGCAAATAACTGACTTGGGAAAATAAGGTTAACATAAAATTGCTTAACATTTTATTTTTATGAGTAACAAAATAGAGAATATAAAGAGGGTGTAGTAGAAGGCATAAAGGTAGTGTAAAGATGTAAAGATGATAGGAAGGATAGAAAGGCCTTGAGTATTTCAGGATGATTTATTTTTTTTTTTTTTTTAAGTTTCAGCATTAAACGGTAGTTTAAATTCAGTACATCTGAACTGTTCAAAAGGTGTTCAGTACTTTGACTTGGCTTTTCCTAGAATACATTGCTTGTAACAGAAAATGGTCACCTGAAAGTGCGCTATGAAAAATAAATAAAACTGATTTTAACTGCATAAAGTCTGGATTTCAAGAGATTTTTCAAATGAAATGTTGTATTAAATGGGGACTCTAAGAGGTAAGGTTGGAGAAATATAATCTGTAAGTATTTAATAACAAAGAAAATTAAGACTGTAGGAAATAATCTGTATTGAAAGAGTAGCATTGAAGAGCTTAATGCTAGGAGGAGGTTTCATGGGTGTGCTGCCAACTAAAAGGTCCCTCAGGCTTGCTGTAAATACTGTTTCTTAAGCTATGTGAATTTTAAGAATTAAAAAGGAGAGAAGCTGAGGCAAGAATGTGAACCTTTAAATTAAAATTATGCTTTAAACAAAATGCTTGCAATTGAAATTAATACTTTCAGTTCCTCTCTAGACTTTCAGGTTAGTTCTGAAGGTAGCACTGGGGGTGTCATTCTTGTCCTGTCTGAATTTGGAAGAGCAGGTATATGCCCAAGGAATCTGATTTGTTGTGTTCTTTTCTATTATTTCTTGATCGGTTACAGCCTATCTGTTTGTATGCAGGCTTTCACTTCAGTTTTAATTTCCCCAATAAAATTTCAGTTGAAGCTTATAAGAAAATAGAGCAGAGAGTGCACCTCTTTTCCAAATCTGGCCAGATCCAGGCTGCTGCTTAATGTATCTCTGACCTGAGCTGCTGCAGTTTGTCTCTTAGTTTGCTCCCTGTTGCTCAAAACATGTTACTGCCCAAGGGGGGAGTTTGGCGATGGAGTGATGGGAAAGGAATAGGTTGGGGGACTGTAAGCGTTTGGGTGGGATTTTACGAAGACTTGTGCCTCATTTTTAAGTCTAAATTCTGTGCCTTTCCTGACTGATAATAGCTTGCATGGGACCAGTAGAGTTTAGGCAGAGAGATATTGCTGGCTCTGTTTAAATAAGAGGAACATGGACTTCGGAAGTACCAACTGGCTCAGCAGGTCCAGTTCCACTGCAGTCTTGGGCAACTGTATAATAGACTTTTTAAGTGTGCAGACTTTTTAAGTGTGCAGAACATCTTGTTTGCATACTATTACACCATAAAATAGTTGCAGTATGCCATAAGGTTAGTAGAAAAAGAAGCCAGCTGTAACTCCCCACTCTGGAAGCACCCCACACTTACGAGACATGAACATGTCTCTTAAGATGGATCAGGCAGGGTACCTGGGAGAGTATTTTGGCAGTAAGAGCACTGGTAGTGGAAGTCTTCATCCTGTTTCTAGATAGGGCTAACTTCTGTTCTCATAACTTCTTAGCCTAGCAAAAAGGACAAGCTCTTCTGATTTTATGTATATAGAAGACATTATAGGATCCTAACTGTTCTATTTTCTGCGTCTGCTTCAGTGTAATTTCCTGTTGTTGAACGCGTGCAGTTCTAGTCATCCAGTATTCATATGAGGTCTTCTGCTTTGTACAGTTCTACTGATACTTCCCTGTTTCTACCAAAAAATTTTCTTCAAATTGCATAAGCTACTTGCGCAACACAGTGTATCTGCTGGTTTTCCTTCTGTTATCTGTATTGTTAAAGAGCAGTTTCTTTGTTACGGATGCTTTTAGAATCCTCGTATTCTTGCTGCACTGTCAAAAGTGTCTTGAATTTGTTGAGTATGCATAGTGTCATATCTGCTGATTCCAGTATCACTTTACTGCATAGCATTTGTCTGTTTTAATTTTTTTCTGACTTTAGGATTTTTTGCTTTTATCTTTAACTTGTTGATTTATATTTCATGGAGTTACTGAAAAATAACATGCAATAACATCTTTTCATTCCCCAGCTGAACATTGCTATGGGCATGCACTGTCTCCTATAATCAAGTAGTGTTTGATACACAGAACCCTAACTTCTGCTTCTGTGGTGCTGATAAATTTACTCTCTCCTTGATCTTATTGCAGAAAGGTAGAGTCACAAAGGGGGAAGTGTGCTAAACTCAGAATTGAGTTGAAAATGGTGTTATCAATAGGAATCATATGTGGCCTTAAAATATTTAGTCAAATATTTGTTTCTGGCTGTAGCACATGCAATATTTGGATAATAGTCCAAGGTGAAGTTTTACATTAATTTGATGCAAAGTAGCCTGCACTTCCAACTTAGTCTCCTTCTCTTAGATTTTGAGTATTTCAGAAACCATGATAGTCTTTGGTTTTGCTAATGTCAAAATAAAGGAGGTGGTAATAGGATTTTCCTACTGTTCTGCATTTCTAATCTCAGTTTTTTTGGTAGGTATGCATTTAATTTCAAATAGGCTTTGTACTTTTAAATATTTTGGGCTGTGTTTGCCAGCAGTAAAACATGTATGAAATTTTTGAGGAAAATTAAAAAGTCTGAAAAATGTTAAAGTAAACCAAAAAGTGCTGGGTTTTGCCTAACTTAACACTGCAGGTATACTGGAGCCTGAAAAGTCAATTTAAAGTATTTGGAAAAGAACCAAGTGGGGGCTGAGTGAAAAGAGGAAGCACGAGATTGTAAAATGACTTACAGTCTTGCAGGTTAGTAGCCAGCAAGGGCCAGGCTGCTGTGGAAGTGGCAGAAGGATGCTATAGTAAAAGTTGCTAGGCTACTGTGAGGGAAGCACTTCTGGAGCACTGTTCAGCTATGCTGAGCATTTTTACTACCTAGCTGCTAAGTAATCTGTGTACAGTATTGCTGTTTTCCTGGCTACCGGCCGGAAAGGGAAGTTTGGACTGCTAAGAAACATTGCCCCTTTGTAGGATGAAACTTGGTCATATGCCAGTTGTTACCTTTTGCAAGACTGACTGTTTTTGGTTTCGGTCACATTGACTGGCAAGGAATGTCAGGAATTCTGCTGAACATGTTTGAAATGGAATGGCAAACAATAGGTCTTTGATTCAGTATAAAAGTATAAAAACTCATTAACTTGTTCTGGTGGTGCTGTCGGGTGAGCTCTTGGTCCCTCTACCATCTTGGCTTTCATTTCTGCTGCTCTTTGTTAAGAAGCTTACTGAAAATCGAAAGCGAGTTCTTTCCATCTGGATTTGTGTCATTTTTGGAATATTTGTAGGAGTGTAATTTATCTGCATCAGTAAAAATGCAATTTTTTGCAATTGCATATGCAAGGTCATCAGTTTTTCCTCAGTGAGGGAGGGCAATTCTGCATCTGCTTTTTTATTAATGAGTTCCCTGTACTGTGTTTTGCAGTACACGTAGTTGGAAAATACCTGCATTTATGATTCTTCTTATTTGTCATTTAACCTTTGATCTTTGTTCCAGGAGATCATTTTAATAGTTCAAGCTAACAGTTACTAGCATAGACATGATGGAGGAACTGCATATTGAATTAAAATTATGGTGTATTGTTACTGATGTTTGTTTGTATCTGTTGTCTCTCTCCTTGTCGGCTCTGACACAATAACCCAGTTCTCTTTTCTTGTAATACACCTTCAGAAAATAGTGTTAAAACTCTGCAAGTACTGTTGTTATGAACAAGTCAGATGCTGAATGCATACTGTAGGCTGCAACACAAAAAAGGAATAATTTACTCTTTAACATCCATGAAGGTACAGTGGGTTTTGTGCAAGTCTAGTATCCTGTTTCCAGTGGGGGACTCCCAAGGCAAGCTAACTCCACTAGTATATAGTCTTCCAGCTTGTACTGATTCATGATCCAGGGATTTCTTAAACTTAAACCCATTTTTAATTATTTTTTTTTAATATAGATGTTCTTTATGGAGTTGTCTTCTGTGAATTTGTATAGGTGCTGTTTAAATCTATTTAAAATAATAGTATTCACATACTATGCCAAGAATTCCAAAGTTCACCTACCTGTGTGTTGTGTGAACAACTGCCACGTGTTAGATTCTTATCTGCTTAATTTTGCTCAGTGATGTCCGTTTCTTGTGTTGGGAAACCATAACAATTGCTACCTACAGCTTTGTTTTGTTCCATAGGTGGTGGTATAAATTCTGTTCTCAGATGTTTCTTTTCCTGGTGGAAGACTCCTTGTCTATTAACCATTCCTTTTAGCTGTGGTTATACTGTTTTGAGCACCCTTATTGTGTCCTTCTCCATGCTTCTTTTAGTTGTTACGCGCTTTTTGAGATGAGTAGGAGCCAGGATTGGGTGTAGTATTAAGGATGGATTTTATGAACTGATACAGTGCATCCTGCTTGGTTTCCAGGTCTCTTATAAGAATTCTTAACATTTGTTTTTGGTTTACTATTGCTATTTTTATTACTTCAGAATCAGTTAATACCTTTTTCACATCCTGTCATCTCTGTGGGATGTTAGTGTTTCGAGCTTTCTTGAATTTATGTGCTTTACATCTCTTTACAGTGGATTTCTTGTGCCATTTTAGTATCTACTCACACAGTTGCATAAAGAACTTATGACAGTGTAGGTATTTCTCGCTTTCATAGATTAGAAAAGCTTAGAATTGTCAAAAGCATTTTTCATGTTTGTAAAAAACAGTGATATTTTTGCAGCATTTAAAGTATCCAATTATCTGTGCAGTACAAGTTATTTGTGAAATTAATAACAGGACTGACTGGGTATTTTTATTTGATTCCCATTGCATTAATTTACAAACTCAATCTTTTGCAGTTTTGTTGCTAGAGAAGATGGAACATGATGATATTTGTAATAAAACTCTGAAGATTACAGACTTTGGTCTGGCTAGAGAGTGGCACAGAACAACCAAAATGAGTGCAGCAGGGACATATGCGTGGATGGCTCCAGAAGTTATCAAGTCTTCCATGTTTTCTAAAGGAAGTGATATTTGGAGGTAAGAAGTTTGTCGTCTGAAGACTACTCTCAGTAGAACTGTGTTGATGTTTTTGAATGATGTGGGTTTTTTTGTGTGCATGGCTTCCTAGGTTATTGTCTCAACATATAGCAAAGTATAGCTGTTCTAAGAAATATGCTAATTTCTCAGCATTTACTTCATTTGATTTATCTTTAGTCATTCATAATTTACAAACTGGGGGAGGGAGAGGGAAAATAACAAAACTTTTTTGCTTTGTTTAAAGAAAGCAAGATCTCATTAAGATTTAAAATATCTATTAAGATACCTAAGTATTATATTGGATTCTTAATAAAAACAGCCATATGCTTTTAATACATTAATATATGATTCATCTTGTATTGGTATGTTTACTTTATATCAGATGTCTGAAAAGTCTCATAGTGCATAAAGTAATGGGACCAGCCGTTATTAACCTTCTAGGTCTGGTAAATAAAAATGAGTTGCAAAACAGAACTTTGCCAAATTTAAATTAGTACTGGTTTTAGGATCTAGAATGTGATCATGTGTAAAAGTGAACATCACATCTGAGCTTTTACATTTATAGAGGTTTCACTTCCAGAAGCTGGAGTAAGGAGAGTGTATTTAGCGCAAAATTGTTTTAACTTGCTCCCTAATTTTAAACTTGGGGAGCTCCCTATATTAAATCTGTGAATTTCTTGTTAAAGACATTATTGTGGATCACAGAAGTAATATGGCTCTCAATACTGGTGCTATTTTTGAGTGGTGTAGTGTGGGATACATGTATTGTAAAAAGTAATTTAAACTTTAGGTTTAATTTAGTTCTGTTTTGTGAGTGGGGAAGAAGCAGTGATTGCACAATAGGCTCTAAAAGCTGCTGTGCCTCACCCTGAAAAGTCTACATTTCCTCTTTTTGAAATGTTTTCCCTTTGAAGGATCCAGGAGAGCTATTTGGGGAAGGAGGGGGAGTACTTGAATCTGTTTTCTCAGGCTTTCTTATTAATTTTCTGTGTTGTATAATTCTTAAATAGGGTCCTGTTTCGCTTAGATGTCTGATCTTCTGCAGCATGAAGTAACACTTTTGGTATTCTCAGGATGATTTTGTATCTGCACTACTGTTTTGTGACACCCATTTGGCTTGTGTATGGAACCGATTTTCAGCATTTTGCTTACATCAGTTTAAGTTGATGCCCTATTGAGAAACATCTTTGGCTTCATTCTTTTTTCCCATTCTTTCTTTTTTCTTTAATTTTCATATTATTTTTTTCTTTTGCGGGGTGGAGGTTGGGTGTAGGCGTTTCCCTAATCAGCTGTATTCCATGCTTAATTACAGGTCCTGTCCAGTCTTGTTGCTGTGATTTTAGGTATCTGAGGGGGTATGCTTTGGTGCAATTATTTTATATTCTGCTGCAACATTAGTTTACATTTTTGGAACCTACAGTATTTCTCTTCTTCGCCTTCTCTCCTGCACGCCTCTCTTGTAAAAATGTAAGTATTTAGCTTAATGATGGACATCTAACAGGAGAGGTTTTTAAGTAGAAAGGCTGTGTTGTACAGTATAGTTTAGACATTCTTGGCTTCTAAAGATTTTCTGCTTACTGCACCTTGATCTATTCTGTTGCTTATCTTTACTCTTTCTTCAAAAGAAATGCAAATAAAGAATACCCTGTTTGTAGGAGTGCTTTTTGTTTTAAAAAGCATGCAGGTTACAGATTTTATGTATGGGGGTCTCTCAGATAAGAGCACATCATATTTCAGGAAATTTCTGAACTTCAGTTACGTGTACTGAGTGCTGAGCCTCCAAAAGAAATCTGCAGACCTCTTACTGGAGGGAGGCTTTTGAGGCTGCTGAAGAACCTTCACACTTGCCGATAGTTTTCCAGAATCAGCCAGTGCTTGGAAATGTTGTGGGTGTATTGTCATGCAGAGCTTTCTAGGTGTTCTTAGGTGTCTCCTAGATAGCAAAGCTGGTGTTTTTCAGGCCCTGCATGTATATTCTTTTGCTTCCCAAACCAGAGTTACAACTACTGCATTTATTCTTTGTCATATGCTTTCTAATTCCCAAACAAGAATTCCACTCTTTCAGGCCTACCCTTCCATCAATTATCATATGTTGCAAATACGCCCACAGATTTCCAAGTGCTGGGGATGTGCTTCGGCAGTGGTCTTTACAATAGCATGTGCCTCCATTGTACAAGCTCTTGGCGGAGCAAGGAAGCGCTTGATGCACATCAGAATTAGCAGCTACTTTTGCCTGGCACATTCATGTAATTTTGAAGTGATTCATGTGGCAATGATTAGTAACCTTTGCTTTAGAAGATAGATTGTAAAATAAAATGAACTTTAATTACCTTCATTTTTATCAGCTTTTAAAATATGTAAAACCAGTAACTTATTGCTGGAATGAGATACGGTAAGGCTTAAATTACATTTGACAGCAGGAGAATAATTTTTAATAATGAAAATACTTAATATACTTTGAAAGATGTGTCATTTTAGGCCTTGTAGTTTGAAAGTTATACATTAAAGCATATTATGCCTGTATTTTTGGCCTTTTGCTAAAGATGGAAAAGGACATGGCTTTTACTTTTTTAAATGCTATTTCTTAGAAGCTCTGGCTGTGTATGTAGGGCAATTGTGTGTGGGCTGGTGAAATTTAATACTCAAAGTACCTACATCTGTACTTAATAAGTAGTTGTTGTCCTAGGTAATGATAGATTAGTACCTCCCAAAAACTCCAATGTGGCAGGACTAGAATGTCTTTAAGGTTCCTACCCTCAGTTTCCTCGCCCACCCCCAGCACCTGACTCTTGGTATTTGGTACTAAGACTGCTTTCATTAAAAGAGATTCTTTCAGGCTATTAGTGTATCGGTCTGGTTAAAATTTTACACCCATCTTCTTGGCACTCTTGAGAACTACTTAGGGTTAAAGGTTTGAATTGTAAATATAACTAAAGCTAATAGTGTCACAACTTCTATAAAAGGTGATTTCTTTTTAGTTAAACTTATTGTCCTGCTTCAGAATTCACATTAAAATACGTATAGAATAGTCTGAACAAGGGAATTCCTTGAATTAAGAACAGTCTACCCTTGCTGAGAGAGCATGGCATTATTTTTACACTTTCTTCAAGCTTATAGATGACATGTAGTTCAGAAGAATGCTTCCATTATACATAAAATGTGTATGTACCTCAGGAAGTGTTGTACTCATGGCTGGCAGAAATACCAATGATTTAAAACAAAATTGGAATTCATTCTTTTATCCTTCTTTGAGTATACAACCAAGTGCAGAGATCAGACTGGAAAAAAATGGGGGAGAATTACTAAGAAGTCCAAGACTTCCTTTTTATTGTTCTGTTTCTGGCGGGGATAGACTGTATTCCTCAGCTGTTGTTTGACTGTTACCATTATAAATTCATCAGTTTTCTAAGACTTTATGATAGGCAAAACTTTGTAGATAAACAGAACGAAGATAAAACTGCTGATATTGCATAGTTTGTTGTTTTATTTATTAAAGTGATGTTGCAAGGTCTTGTGCAATGCTGATTGACTTTTTCTCATTAAGAACACGGTAGAAAAACTTAACTAGTGTGTGTTCTCACTGTCACATCTACTGTAGTAGATGTGGTATTTCTAGTACTAAGGGGTATGTAGCCCTTACCTTCCCAGTGCTGTATGCATTTCTCCTCACGTAGGAGCGTTCAATCCAGTCCTGCAAAACTTGGATGTAGTTTCTTTACACACCTGGAGAAAAAGGGCAAGAGCAATACTTTGTATTCCCTTTGCCTGCTCGCCTTACTGTTCAAAATCAGCAATAGGTTGTCCTTCATATTCTTGTTCTACACGTAGTGGTTCCCTGTCAGGAAGAGAAGGCTGGACAGGAGGGAGGAAACAACCAAACCCAGTGAAGTCCACTTTAGGATTACGTTCTAAAAGGAGTAGTTCCTGCTTCCACAAACACTACTGTGAAAGCTGTGATTTAAACAGCTGTACCATTTCAGTGGTGGTGGAATAGGAGCTCTACAGCAGCAGCTGTATGAGCATGCTGTCTCAGTCCTCTTGTAGGGGCTTGGGCCATTTGAACAGGCCAAGCGTTGAGCATACAAACCCAAAGAAGGTAAAAGAAACACCCAGCTCTTCTGGAGCAGAGAGCATAGCATAAATTTTTATGAGTAATGTTGCTGTAATGGGAATTCCTATAATCCTTGATTTCTGTACCTGATGCTGAGAAGAGTTGCCTTCAGGTCACCACCTTTCACTGGAAACAGTGTTGTTTTGTTTGGGTTGCTTTTTTTGTACTATGGAGGAATTAATTTTGTGTGAATAATCATATGTCAATCTTGTTGCATCTTCTGTGGGAAGTGAAAAGTTAACAGCTCTTTATATATAACACACACAGAATTAGAAATGCAAACTTCCAAAGAAAGCTGGGGCTTTTCTGGTGTTTCCTATTACTATTTAAAAAAAAAGGGCAAAAAATTTTAGGTAAATTATCGTGAAATGTCTGGAAGGGAATGGCCTGAATGCTCTGCTGAGGTTTTCTTTTTTGCTTTGTTTTGTTGGATTTTGGTGGGCAGAAGATTGCTTGTTTTCCTGTCGTTCAGACTTCTGATTGAGATACTTAAATGGTGCTGGCATTTCTATGGAAGTGACTTCAGGCTACATTTTGAATAGGAGTGCAAGCCAGTCTTACAGTCACATCCAGTTTGGTTAATCGCTAATTAGTGGAAAGGAGCAAGATGACTAAAGTAGAGGTGTCTCTTAAAGGTATTCACCTTTGATACAGGAAATCCTCATGAATTTCAGTACATGGTTGGACAGATACATGTTTGTTCTTGTGTAAACAGTGTGTCAATACTCAGAAAATAACTGTTAAAAACATTACCTCTTGTAGTTATGGAGTGTTGCTGTGGGAACTGCTTACAGGAGAAGTTCCTTACCGTGGCATCGATGGCCTTGCTGTGGCTTATGGAGTTGCTGTCAATAAGCTTACTTTGCCCATTCCATCCACCTGCCCTGAACCATTTGCAAAACTTATGAAAGGTACCTGTGTTGTTTCTTCCTATCTACTTAAAATAGTTGTGTTTTGGGGGTGTGTAGCTTTGCCTGTAATAGTCATGGGGTTTTAAAATAAACACCCCCTTTGATAATGTGCTGTGTACAAAGTGGTTTGGTTTTCTTTACACAGCAATCTGGTGTTAGGGACAGTTGCATGTGTTTCTGAGGAAGTCATACAGTATTACTGTGTACTGCTTAAGTTCCTCAGTAGTGACAAAGTATGTGGTTTTTTTGCTCTGGTTTTCCTTTTACACTCAACTTGCATTCATTTTGATAATCTACAGGATATACTACAGGTCAATACAAGATCAAGATTAAAATCCCAAGGGGAACAACTGCAAATGCCATTCCCACCCCCCCACCCCCCTTATTTCTTCCTGAGTAACAAAAATGTTGTGGAAATAACTTTAAAGAGAATAAACTTTGTATGCTAATGGATGTTTCCTTGTGTTTAATGAATTTCTTTACCTTTTATACGTGTTCCTTCTGTGCAGTACTGTTAGCTTTGCTATTTCAGATCCTAAAGATAGAGATGAAAAAAATTGACTATTAATAAAAAACAGTCCTGTGAGTACAGGTAGGTAGATATCTCTTCTGTAAACAGAAAATGGAGCTAGGGGAGCCTTGCAAGTAAAGGGAACACATTAGAACTGTAGGAAAAATAGCAAGTAACTTGAGATTCGTGTGATTTTTCAAAAACTGATGGGATTTTGATAAATTCTAGAATGCTGGGAGCAGGACCCTCATATCCGACCATCGTTTGCCTTAATTCTTGAACAGCTTACTGCCATAGAAGGGGCAGTTATGACTGAAATGCCTCAAGAATCTTTCCATTCCATGCAAGATGACTGGAAGTTGGAAATTCAGCAGATATTCAATGAATTGAGGACCAAGGAAAAAGTAAGTTTATTTTTGTAATTACACGGCAGGGAAAGAAGGGTATGTGTGTATGTGCATTTATGCGGTGCAGCAGTTTTGAACTTTTGAATTGTGGCTTACCACTATAATACAAGAAACCTGTTTTAGGAGTGGAGATACACTTGAGAGGATAAACTATTTGGAAAAGAGGATTTACTCTCTCATTAAAACATTATTAAGTTGCCTACTTTAGTTGGATATACTATTAAATTCCATTAATGCATTTCTGGACTATTTTAAGATAACTCCGTCTTGCAGCAAACTTGCTTTAGAAGAAACATTTAAATACTGTTTTTCTCTAATTGCAGACAATTTGCTTTTTCTCCTTTAACAAAAAGAATAAACAGTACTGTCTGCTGAAACTATAGCTAGAGGTATTTCAGTTGAAGTGAAATGTTAAGTTTGAGAGGAAATGTAACCTTACTGTAGTGAGAGTTGTCATCTGAATGGCTCATTCAAGAAGTACAGGCAGTTGAAAAAGAAACATACCCACACCAGTCTCCCAAAACAAAACAGGTTGTAGATCTGTAAATGTGACACATAGGCTCTTTTTAAAGGATCTTTTTTTTTTTCTTGGATATTTGAATACATCAGCTAACAAACCAGAGTTTATTTAACCTTTATCTAATCTTTCTAACCACTGCAGATTTTCAGCAGTTGAACAGCTGTTGAACAGTTTCAGTTCTCGAACATTTTCCTCAGCTGTGGGGATGAAAAGCTTTTCATCCTGTTTTTACTGTATAATGTGGCTTCTTTTCCAAAAATGGAATAGTGCTTTTATCTCTCAGTCCTGAACAGATTGATAATACTGATCTATTTTGGTGTTTCAACTTCTGGAAATACTCTTGCCAGATATTAAGAAGATTGATTAGATCAACCTTGTACTCATGAATTGGCAAATGCAGTTTCTGCCATTTGTGATGCAGATCCCTGTCGCTGATCTTCTTTCCATGATACATCTTTCCATGATGATATATAATATGATTGTGCTAAATAACTGCTCACTTAATTGTCTACCCTCTCTTTTAGTTACTTCAACTAATTTTAATTACCGTGAACTTTATATTTTTCTTTAGCTAACTCGATAAAGAAACCAGTTAGAGTAGGCCAGGTGTCCTCTTGAGTCTGTTTTAGAAATGTTTCTAGTAGAAACAGATTCCTTCTTTGCAGGTCTTCCTTGCAGTATAATTATTACCCAGTATATATTTGTTGCTATATTTCATGAAGTGGTAATAGATGAGGAAGAAGAGAATTGAGATGCAGTGACTTCTGAGGAAATCTTTATAAAAAGATATAGTCACTTTGATAAAAGCAAATAATAAACTCTTGTCTTGCAAGTCACTGTTACTAGCCTTTGTCCCTCACTTCTCATCAAGTGTCACAAATGGCTGTTGGTGGACTATGGTCATACCCTGGTGATGGGTATGACATCACAGATCTACTGGAATATCAGCTTACGTGGTATCAGAATTTATAGATGACCACTAAGACTGCAGTATCATCCATAATAATCTTGCATACTTCCTATCTGCCTTTTTTGTCCACCCTCTGCTTTTCCCTCTTCTATTTAAGATCATGTAACTGGGCATTGTCTTTGTAGTCTCTGCCCTGCCTACGGTGGACATAAAGGTTGCTGGAGCTGGGCTGCGTGCCTCTGTAGCTGTCAGACCTTTTCCTTTCCCAGATGGGTTATAGTCCCTGAACAGAGGGTAGAGACTTGTCAGCCACTGCATTTACTTGCTGCAGCCTGCCATAGAGCATAACTCTCTTTTCTGCTTCCAGCAACTGCTCAACCAGTCATTTCTCCCTTTTTACTCTGGGAGCATTTAGCATCATAGAATAGTTAAGGTTGGAAAGGACCTTAAGATCATTAAGTTCCAATCCCCCTGCCATGGGCAGGGACACCTCACACTAAACCATGTCACCCAAGGCTTTGTCCAACCTGGCCTTGAACACTGCCAGGGGTGGAGCATTCACAACCTCCCTAGACAGCCCATTCCAGTGCCTCACCACTCTTACAGTAAAGAATTTATTCCTTATATCCAATCTGAACTTCCCCTGTTTCAGTTTTAACCCATTACCCCTTGTCCTATCACTACAGTCCCTAATGAAGAGTCCCTCCCCAGCATCCCTATAGGCCCCCTTCAGATACTGGAAGGCTGCTATGAGGTCTCCACGCAGCCTTCTCTTCTCCAGGCTGAACAGTCCCAACTTTCTCAGCCTATCTTCATATGGGAGGTGCTCCAGTCCCCTGATCATCCTCGTGGCCCTCCTCTGGACTTGCTCCAACAGTTCCATGTCCTTTTTATGTTGAGGGCACCAGAACTGCACACAGTACTCCAAGTGAGGTCTCATGAGAGCAGAGTAGAGGGGCAGGATCACCTCCTTTGACGTGCTGGTCATGCTAAACTGTAACAGGCATTCCCATTCAGGCAGTTTTTGGGGTATTTTTGTTCGGTTTGGTTTTTTTTTCCCTGAAAGCAGTAGTCCAGTATTCAGTTCCTTGTTGAAGAAAAATCTGACTAAATCAATTTTCAGATTAAATGAGTTGGTGCAAAGCTTTGGGAGAGGAGTCACATTTTTGGTGTAAAAGTGAGTTAAGCTTAATTAGGGAGGGGAAAAGATAAAATGAAATTTACTTCTTATATGCCAAAGTAAATGCATCTCCAAAGGCATCTGCCCTAATTAGGTAAACTTGTTTGAGAATGAAAGCATGTAATTTCAACTTAGACAAGGTTTTCATATGTGCAGGCTTATTTAATTTGGCACATTGTTAACTTTACTGTCAGGTACTGGGGAGAAAGTAATGCCGATGAAGTATTTATATAATAATAGGAAGCTAAAAATGCTGCATGGAGTCTTATGCCTGTAAAGGAGGAACTTCTGTAGCTGGAGGAATTTCCTCAAGGGCTTGCTGTAAATGAGCGATGGTGACGCCCACTCCAGGAGAAGATCACAATCTTCTTTTGACAAACGTTCTTGAGCAACTTAAATATAGAATTCTTTCCTAGCTTCTTTACAATGGGTGTTTTAATTGTAGAGTGGTGTAGAAACATTGCATAACTAATTGCACTAAGTCTGGTTTTAATTAGTTTATTTGGAGTAAATACTTAATCTCAGTGAGGAAGCACTCCTACTTTTGGTAGACTGCCTGCCTTTTCAATATGGGCACTCAAGTTTGGCCTAGTTACTGAGCTTTGTCCTGGCTTTGAGGACAGTGAGGCATGGATGATCAGCAGTGTCTCCTAATAAATCTTTATTACTGCAGTAATGCAGCAATAAACATATTTTCTATTTAAACTCTAAAGTACCTTTATTGTAAAACTGAATTCGTGATGCTTCTGCTTCCAGCCCCTCTTTTAGGTTGTCCAGTTTGAATGGATGGGAGGAGGAGGAGGAAAGGGAAAATTTGCAGCAATCTCTAAATGAAGTGGTTAAATACCTTAAAAAACCCCAAACAAGCCAACCCAAGCACACAAAAACAACCAAAAAACCCCCAAACCTTACATAATGGTGTGTAAACAAGTTCCTTTGAATTTCCACGAGACAGAAGTGCCTTTTTCAAAACTGTGTATGTTAAGCAGCATGGATTTAAAAAAAAAGTAAAAAAATTCAAATATTGTGTTTGAAAGCATCACACTCAAAATTAGCAAACCATATGAAATTTGTCAGTCATTTGTATTTGAAAACAATAAGCAATATATGTATGGCATATTTATAAAGAAGCAAGTATCTTTGTGAGATACTTTTCACTGAACCAGTTTGCCTCTGTGCTAAGCTGTTTCGACATTTGTAGTCTTTTTGGCAAGAACAGAGCTGGTTTTTCCCCTCATTTGAAAACATCTAAGTGCTATAATTCAGGAACTAATTATTCAAAACACAGTGGGAGTTAAAAAGAGCCAAAAATTTAGTTTTTTGCTTTCAGTGAATGTGATAAGGAATTGTACTGGCATACAATATTGCCAGATACTGATGAGCAGTCTGCTCTAAGAAAACTCCTGAACTAAATTCCAAGCAAGTAAAAAAAACACCTGACCACCACCAGAATTCTAAGGTTGTACAGTGGCAAAATGAATTAATTTTAAATAGGAATACGATTCTTCTATGCAGAACTTCTCACATAGCTTCATTTCATATGCTCATTTTCTGTTTGAATTGAATTTCAGTTTCTCTCCAGGTAGCATTTACATAATTGTATGTAAAACTGAAAGATACATGTAATGAGAAACTTAAAGTATCAGTCCCGTCATAGCTTCTCCTTTTCCTGTAGTCTCTTTTGTTAGTAGTACTGCCTATCAACTGCCTTGTACTATGAAGGGAGATCTACTTAAATTTCAGATATATTTAACAGATCTTGAAGCTGAAGATTAAGATAATTTTAAGGTGGTACATTTATTTATGTAAGGTGGAGATTAATTTACCCTGTAAGATTAACTAGCTTCCTTACTAAAGCTTTTCCTTCTCCAAAATGAAAAAGAATAACGAGAGAAAACCAACTATATGCCATGGGATTGGTGTTTGGAGAGTCTGTGGTATACTTCAGTGGTTAGTAATTGTTCGATCTAATGCAGATACCTGCTAGATTTTAATTAAGAAACAGCTGTCTTCTGTCTTATGACTTGGTTTATCCTATTACAGTAATCCTCATTTGGTGTAATACTGATTGCTTTTCTAGATAGAAAAGTGCTACTTAATACATGGCTGAAAAACAAGAAAGGTTAGAAAATTTAAGATGAAAGTATTCATTTGTGTATTTGTCAGGTCATTTGCTTTATGTTACTGCATAGGAGCTATGTAAGAGCAGCCTTCATGCTATGGAATAGTCTCTGATGTTGAGCTACTTGGAGCATGTTATCTGCTAGACTGTAAACTGATAATCTTTGAGGGATGTGTTGTCCCCATTGCCAGTGCTTAACTGCCCTAAGTAAAGTGATTGAAGTTAAATGATTGAAAGGAAATCTGCGTAATGCTTGCTCTGTCTGGTTACAGAATCTTAGTTTATGCAGAATGAAGGTTGCATGTGCATATGTATATAGGGTATCATGAAAATAAATTGGGGATTAAAACCTACTGTGCACTTCACATCTCCTTTAATACAACCTTCACATTATTATTTAGTTTCACTATGTGAATCTTATCTTCAGGAACTTCGATCACGAGAAGAGGAGTTGACAAGAGCAGCACTTCAGCAAAAATCTCAAGAAGAATTACTTAAACGCCGTGAGCAGCAGTTAGCAGAACGAGAGATTGATGTACTGGAGCGTGAGCTCAATATCATGATATTCCAGTTAAACCAAGAGAAACCTAATGTGAAGAAGAGGAAGGGCAAATTTAAAAGAAGCAGGTTAAAACTTAAAGATGGACACAGAATTAGTTTGCCTTCAGGTTTGCTTTTTTTCTTATTTTAAGTTCACAATATATGTTGCAATCAAATATGCACTTTCCATAGTTAATGTTAACCGTGGAGTTCCATGGTTAATGTTTTCAGCATCGGCTACTATTTTAATTCACTGCCAGGTCCTTCTACCCCAACAGTGCAAGAAAGTATGGTAGGAATTGTATACACACTTCCCTATCTCCCCAAAACAACTTATACATGTCATGTTCTTGTCAAGTTGTCTTCATTTCAGCTGGAAGAATCGTTGACCTGATTCAGCTGGAAGTCCATTGCATCTGGAGGGAAAGGTTACTCGCATGGGAGCCACGTGGTTTAAGACTAGTTCAAAGTTCAGATTTTTGCTATTGTTCTCTTTGTGCAGATAGAAAACCACCTTTTATCACATTCCAGGACTTTCTAACGTGATTAAGTATTAGTGCTGCTTGCCCTAAACTTTGAAGGACCTAGCAGAACAGCAGCACTTTGCGAAGGCTTGAGGTACAGGTGTAGTAGGTCCAAATTGCGTACTTATTGCAGTCAGAAATACAATACAGCAGTTCTAATCTTGGGAGCCTTGCTAAAAAAAAAAATACTGTAATAGCAACAGAATATATTATTTCAGAATACCAGTGTGATATAATTTGAATGTTAGAGCATTTAATTCCACCCACGAACACATTAAAATGTCCCCTTTGCAAAAGAGGTGTGTACACACTTGGGTTTTTGTTTAGTGTTCCTTTTTAATGTTGCCACGAGATGGCGCTACGGAAACTCGGATTTGTGCTAGCGGCTGGAAAGCCTTCGGTAGGCGTTCCAGCATCCTGGTGTTGATGAGCCTCCTTTCAGTGGCTTCCAGGGGAAATCTTGTCAGTTTATTACTAATGCAGTAAGAACTTAATTCCGCGCTAACACAGGCCTGACCAAATCATGGCTGTCTGGTAGGTGGGAACAGACAAAGAGATATGTAGAGTAGTACTATTTCAGCACTAGTGAAATAACTTATTTTTCCTTACTTTAAAAATAATTAAAAACAGTAAATAAAATAGAAATCACACTACAGCCTCCCAGTCAAGCAAGTTAGGTTGGCTTATGCTGGACCACAAACTTAAACTAAATGTTTGGTCCTTTGTTTCCAGTTCTGCTCGTATTTAACTTGAAAATATGATTAAATAGTTTTGTTCAGAATAACATAGCTCTTTGTTGTCAAGAATCATCAGGATGAATTTGTCCTTGAGGAAATTCTGTTGTAAGCATAGCATACAATCTAATTGCACTTATGATGGGGATTAAAGAGGGGCATATCGTCAAAATTTTATTTCATAAAATGTTTCCTACTTGCCAGTATTTGTTGGGGTTTTTTTTACTACATTGCTATAAAAAGTTGTGTATTTTGTCCTGTTTTTCTAATATGTTCCTAGATGTGACTTATTTGTTAACAGAACTTTTTATGTTGGATATGAATTGCATATTTAAAAAAAGGCAAATCTGATTGCCGTGAATATTGATTCATTTGAGTTGAAATACTGAGATTTTTCTTTCCCTTTGTGACAACCAACAAGATTGAATAACAGTTTGATATAGATGTGTCTCATTTTGGTTCCAGTTGGACCTACCTGCTTTGTTGATATTACTGCAAATCTGTCACACAGTGTCTGTGAAGGTGTGAAACTGTTTGACTCAAGTTCAAAACTATTACATTAAAAGTGAGGTTGTCAGTGCTTTTGATACAAGCATCTCATGCTGTCAAGTTTAACTCATTATATAGCTTTAATTGTTATAAGTAGTACAGCAGCATAATCTTCTGAAGAGTTGTTTATTTAGAACGTTAAAACTGATTTGTTTTACTCTTTTGCAGATTTCCAGCACAAAATAACAGTGCAGGCATCCCCCAATCTGGATAAGAGGAGGAGTTTAAACAGTAACAGCTCCAGTCCATCAAGTAGCCCCACAATAATTCCTCGTCTTCGAGCTATACAATGTAAGTTTCCACCATTCCGTTGTTAACTTGGTCAATAGAGACTGCTTGTTCTGTATGCTCACTGAAACACTGGTAGCAGTGTCTGACTCCAGCCAGATTTCTATCTCATTTCCAGGTCTCTTAGCTTGTTCTGACATTTGCAACTTGTTCTTTGATGGGAGGGATATTCTTGCTGAAATGTTAACTAATTTTCATGCACTGTGAATGCAGTAAATAATTTTTATAACTTCAGGAACTTATTTGTAAGCTGAGTGAGATATAATAATGAAGAATCAAAATTTATAATGACAAAAGGCAAAGCATCATGTTTAAAACTCGTGCAAAATGGAAATAAAGTTTTTATTAGATACTGGATTTGATAAAGAAAATAAAGAAAGATTCAGGAAGTAAAGATGTTTTGTAAGATGGAAAGGCCAAAAAATCAGCAAGCAACTCAGCTTGCTTATGTCAAAAGAGAAGCAAGCTTTAAGCAAATACAAAACTGTAAGAAAATAAAGAAGAAAGCCTGCTTTAGTTTTTGTTGGGTTTTTTTTTAAACAGGAAGGAAACTATAAGATTGTGAGTCCTCTTGCAGGTCTACATTATTCTATGTATACTGGTAGAAGGCAAGATGTGTTCATGTAGTGAAGGTATCATGAATATGGAAGAAAACTTTTTATACTGTTACAGTTAAGCCTGCATTTATGTTTGGGAATTACTTATGTAGAGATAGAAAACAGTTCCTACAGGATTCAGTGCTTGCATTTGTACTGTCTGATCTCTTGTGCAAAGTAGCTTATCTAATTACCAGTATTCAGAGTAGAATGCCTTAAGCTTCTTTATTTAAATAAAATCCATGGAACTTGTCTCAGCTGATTACTTGTGGATGATGACTGTCTTCTTCTGTAAGGGTAGTCACCTCTGAAGGAAATTGCTTCAGATTCTGGCTTTATCAGATATAAATAAGAAGGAGGAGAAATAAAAATGGGTTTTTCTGCATACTGTTCTGTAGCTGAAGATTTTTTTTTATTTATTTATTTTTAGTTTTTAGTTTAGTGTTTGGGTTTTTTTTAACTAATGTGAAACTTTGTTTAAAGTTTGGATAGGAAGCAGATCTCTCATATTTGGAATATCTCTGCCCTTTCATTTTCAATGTCTAAAGGAAAGGAGAAGTGATATCTTTTATGGCAGTAACTTTATGGTTTGTTTGCACTGTAACTGATAGAGTTACCTGGGCAATGACCACTGCTACCCATAAGTTATGGATCAAGAATAGAGGTGGACAAACTCTGTCTTACTTTTCTTAATGAAAATGTAAGATGAAAGGAATTCTTTTTTTTCCCCAAAAAATATTATACACAGCATCTGTGTTGATAATGACTTCCCTGCCTCAAACTGCATGGTTTTTTTTTCCTGTTGATTGGTTTTTTTTTACCGCAGAAAGGTAAGAAAAGATTTCCTTAGTAAGATGTCATCATAACATGTAAACAAGACTGTCTTATCTTTGATTCTCCTTGCTTTATATGGCAATGCTTGGAAACGAAGCAAGTGTCAGGTATTGGCATGATTCTGAAACCGCGAGGGTTGTTTTTTTAAATGCCTTATGTAAGCTATAGCAGTTTTGTTTTGTTGGGTTTTTTGTTTTGTTTTATTTCACCAGGCATTTGCATTCGTAGGGCTAGAATATGCAGGCCAACATAAAGACTCTCCTTTAAAAGTAGTACTTTTCTGTTTCTGAGTTTGGATCCCTAAACTTTATCTAAAAGCTTATCAGAATGCTCAGGAGTATCTGGCTGAAACAATTTAGCTTCCACACCCATTTGCACCTGTGCAAAATAAATTTTCTTTCCCACAATAACACTTTATCTTGATTTAACTTCAAAGTGGTGTTGTTTCAAGAAAACTTGCTCAAATACAGGTGAGTGGAACTGGCATATCTAACAATTGGTTACTTGATTGCTTCACTTTGTCATGATCAAGTTGAGCTTCCAAATCTGAGAGTTTTTAAAGTTAAAATAAAAATCTAGTTAATTGTAAATTTTGTTATTAAAACAAATTGAGCTGATTTTGAAGGGTGTTTTAAAGATAGAAGGACATCCAGTAAGATATATATGCCTGGTCCTGGAATGTGGCTGAAAAAGTGAATATAAAGAAGGGAAGTAGAGTGCCACACTGGAGGGGAAGATGTGCTGGCTAGAAGATGTACTGTTAGGCATGAGGAGAGCACTTTGCAGCACAGGAACAGCAGAGCCACCTCATTTGTCATGCTATTATAATTGGCTAAATTATTTTTCTATTATTAGGTCTCACTATCATAGCTGTAAGCATGCTACAGAGATAGCAAGTTACTTTTCCAGTTAGTTGTATGTGAAAATCTGCTTGCCTGGGTCTGGTCCTAGAAGTAGGATCCTCTAAACCCCACAGTAAAAACCTGCTATCAAAAGACGCTTAATGCCTTTAGAGACCTGGGCTCTATGACCCAAAGATAAAATCATAAGGGAAACAGTTCCATTTCTGAAATGGGCTTGACTAAGATCTCTACTACATTCTCTTAATTTTTCCTCAGTGATTCCCAAAACAGATACACACACAACTAATGGCCGAAGAAACAGTGTATATGTGTACCAGCAAGATGTAGATATCACAAGTGAATGTGAACTTCCCATTGAGGTTATGAAAAAAGGCAAGATTTCATTGTGTTTCAAAGGTGCTGGTTCTGTTTAACAGTGGAGACAGTGACAGACTAAGCATTTAATAAAGGTTAGACACTGTAAAAGTATAATTTGTTTTGGTGTAGTGAGAAAGAAAATGTTAATCATTGTCCCAATTGGAATATTTTGTTTATTTTTAATACCGATTGTTTCACAGCATATATTTTCTTTGGAATTTAAGTGCTCAGTCTAACTCACTTGTCTGAATTATCTAAATATAGGTTCTCAGTTAAATGAAGCATGGAAAATATGATTGTTTCACTGCTTATCTTTAGTTTGGGTCTCTGGTCAGCTCATAAATTATTTTTCTTGCTTGCTCATCTTTTTGTATCAGTGCAGTTTGTGTGGTGGTTCTGGTATGGTGGTTCTGGTAAAAGAAAAAATACCTCAAGTTTTGTCTACTAATCTTACAGTGTCAAAATTGGTTTGCAACAGAGAAAATACTGTGTACTGTCAAAACAGTTTGGTTTTAGAAATGCTATTTATATGTGGTGGGTTTCTTTTTTTCTGTTTTTAAATCCAATCTGTAGTAACTTCAGATGAAAGCAACAGAACTTGGGGAAGGAGCACAACTTATCACCAAGAAGAGTTTGAAGATGTGAAGAGAAGTTTTAAAAAGAGAGGTTGTACATGGGGACCAAGTTCAGTTCAAAGCAAGGATCGTGCAGATTGTAAGGACAAGTATGTCTGCTACATTTTGTTTGTTTGATGGTACTAAGCCTTCTTGGTAACTGAGTCACTAACAAATAGTGAGTGAGAGATGTTCTGCAGCCTCTAGTTAAAGATAAAATTCAGTCCTACCTTTTAACTGATTTAGGAATTTACATTAATAATAAATAGCACCCCCCCATAGACTTGAAGATAAAACGTTTACTTGTATTAAAGTTTTAGAGTCTCTTGTCTGTTGCTCTTTATCTCTGGTTTTTGAGACTTGGAACATACTGGGATTCTGAGCTACTAGTGCATACCAGACATTTATGGCCTGTCTTTCTTGCCCTTCCTCACATTGACTTGAAGAAGTACAAGCATTACATTGGCTTGAAATATTTGTCTTGCATGCCTTTTATCTCATACTCATTGTATTAATTGATAATCATATGACTCTCTGCTATATAATTTTTTTTACCTTTGGGAAGCTTTACTGTTTTCAAGTACTACATGTTTATAGTTTAAAAAGAAAGATGCTTTGGTAATTTTCAAAGTGCATAAGCATGGTAATATCAAAATAACTTACTATTTCAGAATAAGACCCCTTTCAGACGGCAGCAACCCTTGGTCGACTGTTTTAATGAAAAATCAGAAGGGTGTTCCCTTAGCTTCACTATTTGTGGACCAAGGTAAGAGCTATTTTTGAAAAAGTGGAAGTTGCCATTTAATGGCATTAAGTATACCTCCAGTGTTGTATTGCTTGAATTCCTCAAGGACTGTACAGATTATTAGAAGAGTAGTCACACTACAAATCATTTTTCTGTGGAAAAAAAAAAGCAACAAAACCCTGTCTATTAAAAACACAACTGTTAAAATCCTTACATTTCCATCATTAGCAGCTAAGAAATGTACATGGTGTGTGATGTACAGATGTGGGTTTTTCCCCACTGCAGTCACCACTTTAGATGGTGGGTTTGCATTTCCTTTTTTTTTGTTGTTGTGTTCGGGATTTTTTTCCCTCTTAAGAAATAACTAAATTAATAATTGTCTGGACATTTAAGTGTTCTTCAGTGACTTTTAATGTTAGTGGGCTCTGCACAGTTGTTTTAAAAAAATCGTACTTTAAAAACATGTAAGCTCTGATTATGCCCAGGTATCTGTTTCCTGGTTTTTAAATGGGACTCATTCTCTAAATTTTCAGAAAAAAAAAAAAAAGTAGACTTAAAGTTGTTTAGGTAACATCTTGGGGTTTACGTGTAAACTACAAGGAAAAACATACCTAATCCCCTAAGGATCAGGAACATGGTAGCCGTATGTTGATTTTTATGACTGCTATTGTAATGTGCTATGGCTCTACAATAGCTATAATAATTTTCAAATTTACACACACTTTCAATACTACAGATTCTTTTATGTGAGAAAATTAAGTTACCAGTGTCAGGAAAAAAAAACAACCTGTGATGTAAGTTAATGTCCATAGCAGGTTCTAGATTTTGGCCAGCTGGAAGAAGAAATGGTAAGCTGCTTGGACACTGTGTTTTGGTTGGGTTTTTTTTCCCCCTAGGAAAAAGGCATTTTTGTCTTCATCAAGCTTCACAAATAGTTATTTTACAGATGTATTACCTTACTTCCAACCCCTATATACAGAGAGGATTATACAAGTTTACATATTTGCATTTCAAATATTTCTGTGTTTACTTTGTAGCATTTGGTAGTTTATAATAGAATAACATGTGCAGGTCAAATTCTACCTTCCATTTTCTCATTAGGTGTAAGGTGTCAGATTTACGTTATCCTCCAGAACACCATGACCTTATGAATTGCCTGGAAAAGCTTCCAGCAAATCACTGGATTTTGGAACACAGCTTAATTGAAAGTGTTGTAAAGAATGTGTTCCAGATCTTACCTGGCAGATTATAAATAGTAAATTACTTATCTGTAATTCATACACTGAAATACTTTCCATGTTATTTGAAAAGCACTGCAGAAGTATTGCAAATCCTCAAATATCACAGAAAATGGAAAGACGGTATCTGCTCTTGAAATGAACTGAGTGCATAAAGGTTGGGAGATACATTAAGTGTCTCTTAAAACTAAAAGTCTTCCAGATGTGGAAAACGTAGTTCATTTGCAGTTAACTTGTATACTCAGGAAGATTTATCTGCAAGTCTCTAATAGTTTGCTTTTGAGTTGCTAAAAAGATGAAACTGTAGCAAAATTGTACTTCTGCTATTTTAAAGACTCTCAAGAGTACATGAAGAGATTTAGGCTTAGCATGTGTTTCTGGATCTTACAATGAAGTCTCTGAACTTGTGACTGCATCTAAAGGGGGTGTACACTATACCTCAAGATTAATGCTTCTGCAAGTGGAAGGAAATAATGATATACATATGCAGACATGCAATAATAAAATAAATTGCAATCTTAAAGTATACTGTCATGTTTTATAGGTGTCTGTACTGATAAGAAGCTTCTCCCTGAAGGTTTGGACAGTAAAAGACCAAAGCCTATTAAGTTGCCGAATCAGGCCTATATAAATCTACCTCTGTGGAAAGATGATCAGGGAGAGAATACACTAGAACATGAGAGCTTTGAAGAAGGAACCTCTGCTAGTTCTACAAATAGTACTCCTCAAATGACACCTACAAACAGTCTGAGCAGGACGCTGCAGAAGAAGAAGACTGATTCAGTACTGTATGGCTGTGCTGTCCTGCTTGCATCTGTTGCTCTGGGTTTAGATATCAGAGAGCTGAACAGACCACAGGGTCCAGATGAGCTCTTGCCTAAGGATGAGAAGAAGAAGCGTGATGGAATATTTCAGCGAACTTCAATATTTCGTAGGAGTGCCAGCCCTACACGACTACAGACCAAGAAAGAGGAAACAAGTATTCCAACCCTAAATCCAGCTGCAAATACTGTGAATCTTCTCTCTATGCCCTCCATTTCTACAAAATGTTTACTTCAGCCTGACAGTGAAGATGCATTTGTAAGCACTGTGCTTGATGATTGTGGTCCATGTAGTTCTACTGATGACTTTTCATCTGAAACTTCAGAAAGTAAGAGAGAACAGAGGATACAGCTGGCTCCTAACACGGTTTCTACTCGATTAAAAACTCGGCCTTTTGATCTTTGTCAGAAGGAAGAATCTCAGAATCTGCAAAATGATTCCTTGACAAAGTTAAGTGTGTTGGGTCACAGACGAACCTTATCAGATGGGAACAACTTTCAGACCACAGGTGGGTACTTAAGAACTTAAAGTGTAGGGAATTTTTAAGAATAGAAACAGAAAACATAGAGAAACTAACCATTCACTAATGAGATGCCAAGATTTTTGTGAGTTATGTGTTAGCTGAGCCACCGTAACTGCCTGGGGGTAAGGCCTTAGTGTCTGAACCCTGTCTAAACCACCTGCACTTGCATCCTGTTAAGAGTGTGGGTATGGAGATCTAAAGGGAACAGAGAATTCATTTTAAGGCAATATCTATTTTTCATCAGGTATTAAAAGATAGTTTTCCCTGGTCTTTTCATGTCATTGAGAACCTGCTTTTCTTGAAATGTACTATATTAGCATTAAGACTGAAATAAACTGAAACTGTTCAGGTGCATGGATTAGGTTTTTGTGGACTTTCTGAGAGAGTACAGTTGTTTAATACAGTTTCACAGCCCACTTTGAGTGCATAAGCATCATTCTAGTGCTGCACACTTATTAACTTCAAGAAAAACAAGCCTGGTAAGTGTTGATGTGCTTACTTGACCTAGAAGTTATATCACATGTTCCATAAATTCTTAAGTTAAGCTGCTGATAAAAATTTAAGATGAAAAAAAGGGTCTTTTAAGTGGTTTTCATGTAAATGGGTAAGTTTGTAATTAATGAGTTTTCAGAAAGAAGTTCTAAATTTTAGTGCTGGTGTTCTCTGGTGGCTTAAACGTAATATTCTTCATGGTACTCTATGCATATGTGGTATGCATAGTAATACCACATATATAGGAACTGGAAAAATTTGTGAGGCTTTAGTATTAATATTCATCCACTTACTGGGAGGTTGGTGCATTGTCTTTATATCTCCTTTTGTGGCAACACAAAAAAATTGCCATGGCCTCTGACAGAGAGTGTAGATGCAAATACATTATTTGAGTGATGCTGGTCATCACTTAGGAGACTTCCCACAAATGTACAAGCATCTTAGTTTTTCCAGTGGGGGGAAAAAAGCCACGGGTGTTTGCAGCAACTTTGTTTTACTAAATGGCAAGGAATTCAAGAAGTTACATGGTTTAAATTGGCTTTTTTTTTGTTTGTTTGTTTGTTTGGCCTTTCCTTTCTCCTAGCTAATGGATTTGCTTCAACCAATGTTGACTCCACATTACCAGTTCTATCAGTTACTGGAACTCTGCACTCTCCATCTGTTCAACAAAGAAGCAATCGCAATGGTGTTTCAACTGAAAAGCAAAGCGCTGTCAATATTATATCAAGGCCTCGACCTTCTTCTCTCAGAAGTAAAATTGATTCATGGCAGATTATTCCACGTATTATTAAACCAAACTCTAAAGACTCTGAATGTTTAGAGGGCGGTCTAGATCCAGATGTTACCTTCTTGCCAGATACTGAGAAAAGAACTAACTGCCACATGCCCTCATTACTTGACATTGATGTGGAAGGTCAAAACAGAGACTGTACTGTGCCTTTATGTAGAATGAAGAGCAAAACTTGTCGACCATCTATATATGAACTGGAGAGAGAGTTTCTGTCATGAGTGCCTTTCGTTTTTAAAATGTTTGCTTTTTAAAGGGGAACAAATATAAAATTCTTGTCAATCTGATGCTTTGTGCTGCTGTTTCCTGATGTACTGTGACAAAGAGTACCAAAATTATTAAAATGGGCAGCTAATCAAGAAAGCGTAGTAGGTGCCTTTTTCAAATGTTACTTGGAATCCCAGCTAGTAACTCTAAAAGCACAGTGTCATAGGTGAACTTTATAAGCGTATTTTGAACATGCCCACCTGCCTCTGCAGTGTCACAGAAGTTTTCTTTAGGTTTGAGGGATTTTGCTAGAAATCTTAACTTTTGCACACTGGAAAAATGAATGACATACGGTAAGGGTGCGTTCTGCCAAGAAGAGTTTTGCCTAAGTGGTTTTCTTCAGCTTTCCTCTGTGGCCTGTAGAATTAGGGATGGGGGCAGGGGATTTAAGCTGCTGGTTGCAGGAGGCTAAGTTCACTGCTCATTAAGTAACTGGTTACTTTTTTGGCATTTTATACTGAAATTGGTTAAGGACTAGCAGCTGAATTGCCTGATTTTACCCTTGGGTTTTCTGAGAGCTTTTAACTGTGTGCGTTAGTTTCTCCAGAAAGTTAACCTGCTTGTATAAACACTTTGGTTTCAGCCACAATATCGATTTGAGAGGGTAAACTTCAGTATTGCAACTGGATTAAAGGTATTTGACGTGCTTTATAATGTGAAACAACATTCCTTGTAAGTAAGGATACACTGGAACGTAAATATTTGTACTCTTAACCTTTTGAAGATTACAGTGTTTGCACTGAAAACAATATTCTTGGTTTGGAAATCTTTTATTTGTGGAGGGGTTTGCCCCCCTTCTTGTTTTTTAAACTACTGCACCTTGTATTGAGGAAAGATGGTGAGTTTAAGGATGATTGGTTTTGGTTTCAGCAAGATGGAGTTGCATTTTACTACACTCAGATTTTAAAACTATCATAATGTAGTATTAAATCTTTCAAAATAATCTCTGCAGCTTTTCTTCCTAAAGTACTACTGAGTGCCTGGTTATTCTCCTTTAGGAAGGGAAAGACAGAAACAGATATGCTTGACTGGTTTTCAGTGATAGAAAGGTTCAAGAGAATTCCAAGTAGTTAATTGTGGAGGGAGGAACATTAACCTTGGTAGCACTGATTAATTTTTTGCAGTATCACTAAGTGATTAAATAAAACCAAATGTACAATGTACTTTCCCTGACAAAAGCATTTCTAGAATTAAAGGAACATCCCTCATTCCAGTATTTGAAGTCTTTTAATGTTGCATATCATTTGACACTTAAGTAGTCTTCATAAATAAAATTAGATCATGTTAGAATAAAAGTACTCTGTTCCCATCAGAATACTGTTTTGTTGAGACCTTTGTTTTAAATGCTTTCTTCTTCTTTGCTCTGGGGTCTGGGAGTGCAGTTGTTAAATAGAATACACAATTGCTTAAAGCTTCAAAACCCAAGGGATTAAGAAAAGAAGCCTCTGTTCTAAGACTGGTATGCAGTACAGTGGCTACCTTGAGGATAACAGATAATTAAACGTACAAAATCATGAAGTCTTAATCACACAGAGCAGAACATAGAAGATGCAACTTCCCAGTTTTCAAGATGAAAGCAGAAAAGTATTATTTTACCAGAAGTAAAGACGTAACCACGAGTTGTCTGTAAAAATACATGCTTGCATAGCAGATTATTACATTTTGTTCAAACCTGTTTCTATTTCAGTGTTCTTGGTTTTTTGTCAACATTATTCAAGTTGCATACTGTTCTTTGTCTTTCAAGTTTAGTTTCATCAGAACACTTTAATAGATGAAATCAATTTCAGTTTTAATACGAAATGTTTTCATAAAGTCAAGTTGGGTAATGCACATGGATCAAAAAGTATAGTTTGATAGCAGATTTATCTTGAAGGCTTAATTAGAATTTTTGAGCATTATGTATATTTCAACTCTTTCTTGATCAATTTTTCCTGTATAATACTGTGAGCAAAGGAGTTGATTGTATTACATGTTCCTGAAGAACATATCTGGCTTTCTACAGGAAAATCTCAGGTGCTGAAGTATTTTGACTTGTAAACTTCTGTTTTGTTCAGTACTTTTAAGGTTCATATAATTTTATATGGTGAATTTTGTACCCTGTGTTTTGTAATCAATATTATCAGCATAAAAAGCGCTTTGTGAGCTGTATTGTTTTCACTTATCAGTGGCTTATGCCTTGTAATGAAACAAAGATTTCTGTTCCTGTTAAGTAGCTAATTTCCACCCCCATAAGAGTGGGGTGTGATACGACCAGCCCAGTGTGTTGTAACTCATTTAGGAGTTTGTATTCCACCTCTTATTCTGAGACTGTTTAGGTAAGCCTTCTCAAATATATCTCGTGTGATACAGGCATTTTGGGGTTTTCTAAACTATAGTCTATAGTGCTTTATAATTGTTTTTTATAGTTTTAAAATTATAGGCCAGTCTTCACTGAAATTAAAAAGAGAAGAAGAAGAACATACTGCAGTTATGATTTCACAGTCTGTGTTTCACTTGTCACCAGAGAAACTTTCTATAAAGGTATGGGAATCTGGTACACATTAAGTGATCTGTCTTGGTTAAAAGTATATTTATTTCAATGTAGGCTAATAGCCTGACCAAATAATAATTTGTGTTGACTGTTTTAGCATAAAACTGAAGGTGCTCGCAATACAAAGGTTAAGAAAAACACTTGACATGCTGTTTTACAAAACCTCTTGATTTAAATGTTTTTATTAAAAAAAAATAATAAATGTTTTGTAGCTACTGTATTGCAAAGTGATCTGAATTTTCTTGGAAAATGTATTGTAATGCTTTGTTAACACGTACAAAGGAGTTCTCTGGTGAATAACCAGGAGCTATAGACTATGATCAGCCTGTTCTTAGAACATTAAAATGTAATTGTTGCTTTAAGATTAATTATCCAGTACAGTAACATGAATGTTCCTGTAATTTCTTGCAATTGATGTGGGCAGAAACATATGGTATAAGCTTGTTCTTTCTTTCATGTGACTGTAATGTCTTTTGATGCTTTTACAATGTTGGCTGGGTATCTTGGAGGAGGTAGAGCAGTGGATGTAAATATATTTGCCTCTGATTCAGCATCAAGAATGCAGGTAAGAAATACATACTTCTGTTGTGGGTTTTTTGGTTTTGGAGGAGAGGTTTTGTTGTTTCGGTTGGTGGGGGTCAGTATTTTGTGGTGGGGGGGGGTGTTTATTTGTTTCCTCGGGTTGTTTTGGTCGGTTGAGGTTTTTTTAGGCAAATGAAGCTGGTATTTTCCTTGCAATATTTTCTAACACCTTCTTTTGTGAACTTCCCTCTTGTCTTCCCCCACCATGCCACAGGTGTGTTTGCCAGTTTGTCGGTAAGGAGAAGATGAAGTATCCATTTGTACAGTGGCAACAGGCAATATGTAGCAGATTTTTTAGTGGTGCTGTGAAATCTAAGGCTTAAGCCCAATCCTTTAAAAGGACATGTCTACATAGAGCTTTCAGTGAGGCTGTCTAGATAACTAATATTTACATGGCCTTTGAGTGTCGGTGTTGAGGCCAGATGATAAACCAAGCTGCAAAACCAGTTTATTGTAGACAGTGTTACAGTGGTAATAATAAGATCTGCATACAAGTGTGCGGTAATGGGAAAGATCCCATCCTCACTAGCCACCTTTTAGTATAAGTAGTCAAATCAGTACAGTGCGTGCATTATGAGGAGCTAATGAGACTGTGCTGAGTAGCAGAGAAGGATAATCTCCCTCAACCTTCTGGCAGTGCTTCTAAAGCAGAATACCATTGGCCTTTAAGGACACATTGCTAGCTTATGTTCAGCTTGGGTTCCGCCAGGATCCTTGGATTTTTTTTTTGCAGAGCTGCTTCCCCAGATGTTCGGCTGTTAGTGTGTACTGGTGCATGGGGTTATTCCTCCTCCCACTTCATGAGATTCCTCTAAGCCCAGTTTTCCAGGTCTCTCTGAATGGCAGCACAACATCAGGTGCGTCAGCCAGTCCTCACGGTTTTATCTCATCTGCAGACTTGCTGAGGATACACCCTGTCCCAGCATCCAGGTTGTTAGTGGCAATGTTTAAATGGTACAGGCCCTAGTATTAACCTCGGGTACTTCACTGCTAACTTGTGACATTTAAGCAAGTTGTAATTAATGCGATCTAATATTTTATTCATGTAATGTAAAATATTTTTCCTAAGTGTTTAGATAATTGCTATTCTTCAAGTACTTTCAGAAGCCTTTTTTTGCCCATTTCAAAAAAAAAGGCATAATGACTATTCTTACATCTAGGCTTTAGACAGTTGCTTTCAGTAGGTTTAGATCTGACATCAGGATGGCCAAGCTCAGTCCTTAATGTAACAGCTTGTTCAGAATCTTTTTCACTTTGCTTTAAAAGCAGAGTCATCAGTTCAGCCTGGGTGAATGAACTAATCAAACTTCAGTCAAATGTCAAATTTAGTGTTACTCTGAGTGATCAGTATGAGGGCTCTGCAATACTGCTAAATAGACATTATAGAAACATTTGTATTGCATCTGAGAACATCAGTTTTCTCTCGTGACACAGCAAAGTATATAGCTGTAGGATCTGATAACTAGAATCTCTTGTGGCTTCTGAAGATTTTCATGAATACTTTAGTTGCCCAAGGGAACACAAAGAGGGCACAAGAACAAACTCCTTGGCAGAAACCTGTTAACACTTCTCCAAGGAAAGGTACCCAACACAGCCATGCCTACTGAGACTGCAGAGTTCTTTGCATACCATAGGATTTACAATTACTTCATTGTCCTGTCTCTCTGCCAAGAGTTCATCTATATCTAAAACCTTTGATGTAGCAGTAGTCACTATGAATAGTCTAGTCATCTGAGGGCTTGCTAGGCATTATGAAAGCAGGTGGAAGACTGCATATTTAGGCCCCAGGAGAAAACAGAAAGAATGAGACTATTCATTCCCCTTGCTGTTTTGCGAACCACTTGAATAATTCAAAAGTTTCTAAACTCCCTTTTATGGCAGACTAGATAAGGGAATAGTATTTTGCAGGCTTTTTTACTCTCTGCTACCTTCCAAATGGAAAGTGATGTATATTCTTGTGTTGGATGCTACTTAACCCTGCCCA